ACAAGGTGATAGAGTAGCAGGGATCAAAAGACCTGGATCCAAAGTCTGCCTCTGGCTCTGACTAGCACTGTGACCCTGAGTAAGTCAGCTCACCTTTTGGTCTCTTAGGGTGATGGTGTCAAACCTCGGCAGCAATGGTGGCCACCAGACCCTGCACGAGGGTCCCTGCCAGCCACACACTGACCTGGTTTTAAGATGTACTGTTCTCTCTATTTTAATGTACTCTTCTTTATTTTGTTGAGTATTTCTCACTTACATCGTAATTCCTGGGGCCTAAGGATGGCGTGCTGAGTTCCTCTCCCTAGGTTGCACTAGGTCCCAAATGGGTCCATGGAGAAGAGAGCGCTGCTACAGACTGCATCACAAACCATGGCACCTGGCCGCCTCCCAAGTAAACTGTTAAACCCTTGTTTCTCTCTCTTCAGGACCTTGCCATTCCATGACCAACCTCCCTTTGCAGCCTTGTCTCCCAGGATCCTCTTTCCTTCCATGCTCTGGCCAAGCAGGATCATCCACCGCTCTCTTCCTGGCTCTCTTCTCTGCCCCTGCCCCCACGTGCCTGTGAGAAGCCCTCTGGTGAGACCACCTCCAGGGTGTCTTCCCTGATTCCCTAAGGCAGCTTTCCTGGGGTTTGGAACACACTTGGCACCAACCACTTTCTACCTCGGATCAGAGTGATTCGAAGACTTTTCCCATTCCTGCATTAGCCTGTAACACGTCATCTCTGAGTCAATAAGTATTTATTAAGTGCCTACTGTGTACCAGGCTCTTTGCTAAGCTCTGGGGACACCAAGACAAGAAAAACCCTGCTCTCCTGGTGCCCAGTCTAACGTGGAGACGACAGGCAAAGGCTTCGTACAAGACAGATACAGGCAAGATAAATCCAAGACAACAAAGGGGCAGGCTCAGAAAAGCCCCTTGTAGACCGCAGGATCTCAGCTGGGCTTTGAAGGGACAAAGGGAAGCCAGAGTGACAGCTAAGGAGAGAGTGCTCCAGGCGTGGGAGACAGACAGTGCCCCTCTCGGAGGTGGGAGATGGACCGCTGTTGTCAGGCGACACCACGGCAGGAGCTCTGAACTCCCCCAGCCTGGGGGCCCCTGGAGGGCAGGGCCAGCTTTGGCTGTTGTTTGACTGGGGGCTTTGCCTGTCTTCCTATCCCCAGCGCTGGCACAGTGTACATAGTAGGTACTTAATATATGCTTACCGACGGACTCCAGACTTTTTGTAACTGCTCACCCACTCGGAGCCTTATTGTGCTAATTGGTGAGTCATCCAGCTCCATCCTCTCCCTCATCCTACCTCCACAATCTGCTTAAGCAATGTTGCTAAAGAGCAGGTCTGACCTGACCATGTTCCTCCCCTGCTCAGCAAACCCCAACGGCTCCTATCATCTCTCAGATCAGCTACAATCTCCTTTGTTTGGCTCTTTGAAGCCTTTCACACCTGGGCTCCGTACCTTTCCAGCTCTGTTATTCATTACAACCCCTCACACACTCTCCATGCCCAGGCTAACCATCCCTGCTCATCTTCCCACATGGCGCTCCTTTCCCACGTCTGCCTTGGCATTGGCTGTCCCTCATGGCTGGCCACTACACCTTCCCCATCTCTTAAAAACCTTCATTTCCTTCCAAACTCAGGTCCAATGCCATCTCCTAGATGAGGGCTTTTCTGATCCCCCACCCCTCAGTTAGCTTCTAGGGCCTGTCCCTCAAAATTACCCGGATTTTATTTTGTATCTATTGGAAAAGGGGACAGCAGAGAATTAGTGGGAGGGATAGTGTCACGGAAACAACAAACCAGCTTGGACAGACTTTGGGAGATGGTGGAGGACAGAAGGCTCCGGCGTGCTATGGTCCACTGGGTCGCAAGGAGTCAAACACAGCTGAATGACTGAACATCAACAAATATATTGTGTGTGTACAGTTATAGATGCACGCATTGTCTTCCCCAACAGAATGCAAGATCCCTGAGGACAGAGACCATCCTGGCACCTAGCATGGCACCAGGCACACAGCAGGTGCTCCACTAAGTTTCGGATGATTTATCGATTGATCTGTAAAATCATGGGACAACTATAATTGTCCAACCTTCTGCACGGGGTGGTTAAAAATGCCTCATGAGCCCCCCCAGGGCTCTAGAACTGTGAGCTGTCATCTTTGAACCCCACTGCCCCAGCCCCTGGTGCTCAACGGGGCCTGGCAAAAAGGAGTTAATGAATGGGAATGGAAATAAATTGAATTAATGATTCCTTCACACGGCTTTTGGAGACATGGGGGTAGGAGTCAGGTCTGGGCCTGGGAGCTCCCAGTGAGGAACCACTGCAGATCAGCACCTTCTCTCCAACTTCTCGTTTTAGGCAGCTGCCTGATCAATGAATCGATCAATTAACATCTATTGTTGGTCTTGCTGTTCAGTCTTTTCCGTCCTGTCTGACTCTTCATGGCCTCATTTGGTGTGTTCTTGGCAAAGATATTGGAGTGGTTTGCCATTTCCTTCTCTAGCTCATTTTACAGATGAGGAAACTGAGGCAAACTGGGTTAAGTGACTTGCCCAGGGTCTCACAACTAGTAAGCATCTGAGGCCACATTTGAGCTCGGGAGGATGAGTCTTCCTGACTCCAGACCTGGAGCTCTGTCCACTGCATGTGCCACCTAGTTGTCCAGACATTTATTAAGCACCTACTGTGAGCCAGGTACAGTGCTAACCACTGGAGATACAAAAAGAGACAAAAGATAGTCCCTGCCCGCAAGGAGCTTACACTCTAATGGGGCAGACAATCTGCAAACAAATATATACAAAGTCAGCTATATATAGGATAAACAGGGGAGAGTTAGAGAGGGAAGGCACCGGAATGAAGGGGAGTCAGGAAGGCTTCCTGTAGAAGGAGGGATGTTAGCTGGGACTCAGAGGAAGCCAGGGAAGTCAGGAGTCAGAGCTGAGGAGGGAGAGTGGTCCAGGCCTGGGGGATGGCCAGAGAGAAAGCCCAGAGGTAAAAGGAGGAGGGTCTTGTTCAGGGAGAAGCCAGGAGGCTGGTGGGGAGGCTCGAGGAGGACGGGCTGGCCAGGGCCAGGACGTGTCAGAGACAGGACTCCATTCGACTCTGCTTGGCTTTGGAAGCCACTTCTCTCCATCCCCCTTACGGTTCATTTTGTAGTCAGGTCTGCGGAACTCCACAGTCCTTATTGAAGCCATATGTC